CCAAATCCTGAAGTTGATTTGGTACGGCCCGCAAGGCACAGCACCTACCGGCAAAAGGTCAGACTCGACAAAACATCAAGGTATCCTTATTTATCGTACATTAATCATTTACTGCACATGCGCATTATGCATCTGTATTCACATACGCGCGCCACATATACATATCACATATGTGCGTCATACATACATCTTGACATAAAAACTTCTTTTCCAAACCCTGAAGTTGGTTTGAAGAGGCTACATGCCCATTCTTTTCCAAACCTTGAAGTTGGTTTGGCGAAGCTAACGCCCTCTACAAATTCCATCAAAATCGAGAGCACACTAGCCGATCGAGATATAATTAAATAAAAATAAGACTAAAGACTAGATATTGAGTTATCTGACCAGGTCCATCTTACGAAGAAAAACAATCACAAAATAAAAAATTGCGTCGTCTGAATATGACAAAATCGCGAATACAATAAACAATTCGAGGTGCCTGAGTGCCCACACAAATACATACTATTATCATCATTACAGAAGCAAATCAATCAAACGCTTCACACAGCATGCAAAACTCCAAAAACGGGTACGAAATAACCCAACTAGGCCACTTAGGCTCTATTCCAGTAACAATTCCAACGAATGGGTTATTTATGCCACGATTTGATTCGTTAGAACAAAAAATATGATTAACGTCAAAACGTCAGGCCGAAGCCTGAACACGATCAATAAAGCGACCACGGGTCTCAAAGCACCCTGACAGCGTTCGTACGTCATTTACCACAACATAAAAAGCCTTAGGCTCGAGCATGTTATAAAGTAAAAGTCAACCATAATTGATTACACATGCGACTTCAGGACAGTTCTATTCAGAACATCCCCTAAAGTCGGGGGCATACTGTTGTTACCCAATTTTGGCCCCGCCTATTAAGATACGACATGTGGATATATATTAAATAAATATAAAATAGCAGGTTCTTCCATTTGAATTATATTGATCGAGTTCTCATAAGGCAAGATTGTCCGCTTCCAGAAACCGCCAGCCCGACTCGGATATCACAAAGAAGTCGCCTCCACAGACAGAGTAATTGCTGACAAGAAAAATACCAGTCGAAACAGTTATTTGTTATTATTATTGGGCCCTGCGCGGTTATATTTGTTTTATTACATTTGTATTTGTAAATATTGTAAAGGCCCAACATATATAAGGACCCATTAGATATAAAAGCCCTGAATATGTATGTGTAAATGGGCTCAAGGGGGCTTTGGGACTTTTACTTTTTCCTATATATAGAAATATAAGAAGGTGGCGCCACATGGATCTTTTCTTTTTCCTTATCGCCAACAAAAAGGAACCGCCTCTTACGATTTCGTTTCTCTCAACAAAAAGGATATACAACTTCTATTTTTTCTTCAATTTTCTTCTATCTTTACAATCAATTTCACACAATATTTTATATATACAAACAATTCTAAATACCCCATGTCGTTATAATTTCGTTTAACAACAATAAATAAGAACAACAAATTTTGATAGACAGTGTAAATCGCTTTTTTATTTTATTTTATTTTCTTAAAATATTTTTGTTTTATTTATTGTACATGTAATAAGGATTTCTTTAAGCTGAAACCATAATTTAAAAAACATATTTTGATGATTAAGAATTTTAATATTTTGAAATTATTTAAGTAAGTTGTTAAATAAATAAGAAGATTAGATTGTTAACTATAGATAGAATTCTTAAAGGTAAATTTGTTTTATTTCTTGTACATGTAATATGAATTTATTTGATTTGAAAAAAAGAAAAATGATGATTAAGAATTCTAATATTTTGAAATATTTTTTCTAGTCAATTATTATATAAGATGTTTTTCAATATAGTATTCTTTGACCGGATATATATAGAATATGCAAAATATATATAGAATATGCAAAATATATATTTGATTTTCCATTATTTAAAATACACAAATCTTCAAACATATATAACAAATTTATGGCATTGATTGGATATATAGATTTATGACTTTGACCGAATATATAGTGATTTTGTGGAATTAATTTTGAATTTGAAAACATGTGATGGATGGAAGAATCCAAAAAATTTATGAAAAAAACATTTCCATTATTAGTAAAAAATAAAAATTGGGGCAGAAAATTGTGATGCTATTTTTGTATATTTTTCTTATTGCTATTATATAGTAATAGATTTTAAAGTGTCTTTTTAAAATTTTGTAAGATTTAATAACTAAAACTTTATATGAATCTCACCCAAAATATCACATCCAGACTTGAATATTTTCAGGGATTCCTCTTAAATTTCAAATTTAAAAAAAAAATCTCAAATCTCAGAAAATTATAAATATCTCTTAAAATAAATACAAACATAAATAATAGTAACTAAATAAAATAATGATCACACTAAAGAATGAAGTTGATAATGAATGTCGAGAAATGCCAACGCACTCTCATCGGCATCAAAAAGGGGGTGAGATACAACTGAAAACCTTCTTCTACACACTATATGAATTCGATACTCTACTTACAACACATAACTTTATTCTTCTTAGTATTGACTTAAGCATCAGAGTGCTAATGACGGGAACTCCACCC